TGAGTTTAACCTTGTGAGATTGGATGTGATGAGTGTGTGTGCAGCTGGAGTGGACTGGACTTGGTGGAGGAATGAGTTCTAGTGAAGTTTTCTGAGTCAGTACTTGTGGTTTGTTTCTCTGTGACCTCCAGGCGTACAGGCTGAACCTGTTTGGGTCTCGTTACCAGTGGATCGTTGTTGACGGAGGAACCGGCGGGTGGAAGCTGGGGGGGGGGGTCTCTGGCTGTACGACCACCAGCGTCCTGACGGCTGCAGACGGATCCATCAGGCTGCAGATCAGACAGCTCAGCAGCAGCAACACACCCGGAGTCTCTGGACGGGTCAGGAAATTAAGATGAAAAGATGGACACATGGATTGGACCGTGTTGTAACCGTGACCTTTGTCCCGCAGACGTCTCAGAACTACCGGGACGCCTACCTCCACCAGCTGATCCAGGAGGGGTCACCGCTCAGCGCCCTCCATGCCTTTGCCTACGACAGTGTGTGGGTGGCGGCCTCCGCCCTGGCTCAGGTGATGGAGGCCGTGAAGCACAGAGAGAAGTTCAGCGCCCAGAGGAACGTGGCGGTCAGCGAGGACGAGGTGCAGAAGATGCTGCTGGAGGCCGTGAAGAAAACACAGTTTGAAGGCGTCACGGTGAGAAACCGGAACATCCTGTGTGGTCGTGTTACTGTAACCAATCATATACTAATACTGTAGTACTGTGTTTATTGGTACAGACAGTGATAGGGCAATTTTTGTTCTTTAACCAGTACTAGTACCAAGCCAGCTCTAGAACTAGTAACGCTGCTTTAACTGGGACTAGTACTAATATTTATGATGACATTTGTACTGCAACCACTCTGGTACCAATACTGATACTAATATAGTAATGTTACTTGTTATTCTGCAGAACTTCTTTAACCTGTACTAGTAGAGATACTGTAACTGGTACTGGCACCAGTACTGCAGACTTGTACTAGTACTTTTTAAATGTATGTACAGTAGATCTTTAGAAATGAGATGTTTGTGTTTTTTGTCAGGGACCAGTTTTCTTCAGAAACGGAGAAAGACCGACGACCATCGAACTGATTCAGTTTCAAGGTGATGAAACATGTTCCTGCTCAGTGACGACTGACGTCATCATATCCAGCTCATGTACTGTGTGTGTGTGTGTGTGTGTGTGTGTGTGTGTGTGTGTGTGTGTGTGTGTGTGTGTGTGCAGGCAGCACTGGTGTGTTGGTGGGTGAGTTCAGTTCAGAAACACAACAGCTCCGACTGAGGAACCACCTTCTGAAGTTTCAAGGTCAGAATTTTACTTTGAAAGCTTCTGTCTTGCTGTTTTCTCTTATTTGAAGTTTTATTTTTTTGAGTTTTCTAGATTTTGAACAGAAAGGAGCTGAATGTTTTTGTGTCCTGCAGGTCGAGGACCAGCCCGAGATCAGACCCTGGTGCGTCCGCAGCGTCGTCACGTGAACCTTCTTCAGTACGGCATCGTTTCCTCGGCTGCAGCTGTGACCATCATCATCGCTCTGATCGTCCTCTGCTTCATCATCATCCACCGCAGACACTGGTGCGTCCGAACGTCCACATCTGTGTCTCCTGTTTCGCACGCTGAGCTGTGACTCCTCTCCTCCTTCAGGCTGCTGAGGTCGGGCAGCGTGTCCCAGGACGAGCTGCTCCTGCTGGGCGTCCTCCTCTCCTCCTCCTCAGTCCTGGTCTCCGGTCTGGACGGAGCCTCGGTGTCTGACGGGACGTTTGAGATTCTTTGTTCTGTGAGTTTGAAGAATAATGACCATGCACAAAGTGCTCGACCTCAGTGAAAGTGAATCGCAGCGGCTCCTCAGTCCTCAGGTCTCAGCAGGAGACGATGAATGTAAAGATCTGTCTCTTCATGTTGCTGCTGCAGGCTGGGGCGTGGACTCTGTCTGTGGGTCACACCGTGTCCTCCTCTGTGCTCCTCATCAAAACATGGACTCTTTATTCTCTCTGCACAATCAAGCCGAAGGTACGACTCCTCTTATTGTTCTGTTGTGAGTGTTAGAAAAGTCTCACTCTGTCCTGTGACGTCCTCGACAGCTGCAGAGTGGAAGCAGCCGCCCTCTGCTCTGGATGCTCCTGATGGACGTGTTGGTTTTAAGCTCCTGGCAGATTCTGGACCCGCTCAGACGGGTGGTGCTGCAGCATCACGCAGAGGTAACCACGGTTACGACACTGGCAGAAACGGTCTTATAAGAAATGAATGAAATCAAGACTGAATGTGTTTGTTTTCCAGACGGACCCGTCGGACCAGGACGTCCTGGTTCAGCCGTTCTCTGAACGCTGCGGCTGCATCCACATGGAGCTGTGGCTAACTGCTGTGTGCGGCTACAGAGGCCCCCTGCTGGTCAGTGCTGACTCCACAGGCCGTGCTGTGGGTGTGTGAGTGTCTTTACTTGAAAGAATAAAACAGAACCTGGTTTCTTTCCTCAGGGTCTGGGATGTTTCCTGGCCTGGAACATCAGGTCGGTGCAGACGGACCGTCCTGCTGTCAGCGGTCGACGTCTGGCGCTGAGCGTGTTCGCAGTGACGGCGTTCAGTGTGTCAGGAGTGTCGGGGTCACTGCTCACGTCCCACAATCCTCCTCTTCAGTTCTGTCTGAGCAGCGTCCTCATCCTCTGCTGTAACATCTGCATCCTGATTGGCCTGTTTGGACCGACGGTCAGCGGCTCTGCCTTTACGTTCCTCTTCAAACCCTCAGGACTCCCTGACTGACTGTTTCTAATGTGTCTGCAGATTTTACACGTGAGACTGAACGGCAGCGAACTGCAGCCGCCGTCAGATCTGCAGGATGAGGAGGCAGAGGAGGAAGACGAGGAGCAGCTGAGCAGGTTGAACCGACGGCTGAAGACTCGAACGTCACAGGTGAGGAAACGTCAGAGGACAGGTTGGACTGATTCTGTCTGATTCTGTCTCCAGAAGCATCGTGTGCTCAGGTCGAACACGAGAGATTATATTTGTACTTTTTAAATCCAAACCCTCAAAGGTCAACTTCACTGTGAAATATTGAGGGTGGATCCTGGACCTGCTGCACGTTCTACACTGTTCTCCTCTTTTAAACATTTACAACCAGAGTTGGAACAACGAGATAATAACACAGATGTTTGTCTCTGCAGCTCGATGCAGAAATAGAAACCATCACCATGCAGCTGTCGTCAGAGTCCGAGATCCTCCATCATGTGATGAGATCAAACAACGGTAACCACAAACACAACACAACTACACAACCAATCAACGCTGCAGCTGAATACGAACCCTCATCACTGCGTGGTGGTGACGTGGAACTCACAGACACGTCGCGCTGCTGCAGCCGCTCCTCGTCGCTCCTCGTCGCTGGATGTTTGCAGCTCCGCTCCTTCGTGTCTTAACGTTTGTTCTTCCTCCTGCAGCTGAGCTCAGATCTGTGAGCTGGAATAATGAAGCTCCTTCTGACGACAGAGACTCAGAGAAGAAACTGTCGAGTCCAGAGGACGTCAACGCTCCTGAACTGTGAGTTCAGACCTGATGAGGTCACCTGCTTAGTCTGATGATGTCACCACACCGACCACAGAGGTGATAGCTTCGTATGAGAAGCAGCTAGCTCTGTGTTCTGAGGGGGAGAGACGTCCTCCGGCGTCCTGACCCTCGGGTGAAACGGGACAAATCCCAAAGTTGGGTTCAGCTGAATGCTGAGCGGACGTTGTGATTGGTGTTTGTTAAAGATTCTGTGTGAGAGACGATGATGCGAGCACTTTTTATTTGTGTCTGATTTCTCTCAGCGTCCGGCGGCGTCTGTCCGTGCAGCTGCCGATCCTCCATCACTCCTACCTGCCTGTCATCGGTGGCGTCCCCTCCAGCAGCTCCAGTCTGTTCGGCAGCATGGAGGCCTTCGTTCACCACGACGCCATCGTGACCACGATGACATCCTGCCCACCGGGCGGCACGCAGCAGTGACCTGAAGCTGCAGACTGAGAATCAAGAACAAACATCAAATATTCATTATTTTACATGAATATGATAAAAAGTCCACATTTATACAGTATTTTATACATTTTGTCACCATGGTAACGGCTCTAACATTAACTGTTGCTAGTTTCGAAATTTGGTTTGTAAGAAAATTTTAAATAAAGAAATCTGTTGAACTCTGATTCTGTGACAGAACCTTTCCAGCTGCTCTGTTTGTTCTTGCAACATATCGAAATGGTGAATTTCTAAAGTTGCGAAACCCGAGCTCTGACCCAGTGACCGGATCCAACAGAGGACGACCCTGAACCTGTTGGACGAGTAAACTCCAAATACTGCAAAAGTGGGAAACCACCAGAAGTGTTTACTGTCGGTGTGGAAACCACAGATAAATGTGTGCTAACAGGAGGACGACTCTATAAAATCTCTCATCAGGGACGAAGAGGCAAAGTTCCTCCATCATGTTTTCCTTCATGAAGCTTCTCTGCGTCCTGGCTCTGACTCTGCTGCCTGTTTCTGAGGCGTCTTGGGGTGAAGGTCGGTCTCTGCTCAGGTTTTCTGTTTCATGGTTCTTTTACAGTTTGACTCATGTTTTGTCTCTGACTCAGGAGACGCCACTTCTCACAGCTACGACCTGTCGGGCTCAGCCCTGACCAGGGTCTACAACTCCCCGGTGTACCTGGCTGAGAGGATGAAGAGGCCGCTGGCTGGATCCTCCATCCGGCTGGGACCCATCAGCCACTCTGGAGTCCGGTCAGTTCAGTGTCCACAGTTTGATCTAAACCGTGTAAAGGTGAACATGTGGAGCGTGATGTTTCCTCAGGAGCTGGTGGAGACCGAACCCAGAGAGAAGAGAGAGAACGAGTCCTAACAACAGTCGTTTCATCGACAACACTGTTTCATCCTGTTTTCTCTCTGTAGTTTAGTTTTTACATCTTTAAAGAAAAGTCTTAAATTCAAGAGTCAAACAGACCAAAGCTTCGGACGGACGGGGGGTGGACACCACAGTGTGATTGACAGATAGTACCGTCCAATGGGTGCAGATGCAGGTGGGCAGTCAGGCTCCTCCCCCCGCTCCTCCAAATATGGTAACGTCTGGTTTAAATGTCAAACAGCTTCTAAACAGCAGCTCACTAACTAACCCCTCCCCCGTCATCCCTGATTCAGAATCATGTGTAAAGTCAAACTTTAGGTTTTGTTCACATTTGTTCTCTGATCAGAATCAAGTGAAATAAATCCTCGCTGTGTCTGTGATTCTCAGAGTGACGCTGCAGGACGGGGCCCAGTGGCTCATCCATAAAGGGGACGGATACGGAATATCGTCTGATACGGTCGTGACCGATGCTGGACACATGAGTTCATCCTGGGAGGTAAGAGACCGATGGAGGAGGACAGGAATGAAAAGAGGACAGAGGAAGACAGGAATGAGAAGACAGGAATGAGAAGACAGGAATGAGAAGACAGGAATGAGACAGGTCCACGTGTCGCACAGGAAACAGTTCAGGAGAAACGTAGAAAAAGATCTTGAGATGTTGAATCTGGTTCTGATGAACTGATCTGGAACAAGCTGACGTTGTTTGTGTTGTTTCATAAGAAAATAGTTTCAAAATGTTTTAGGAAATACAAAGTTATCAGTTTCCTCTGACTTCCTTCAAAGTGTTGTTTGGTTGATCAGAGGTTTGAGTGAAGATGATGAAGATGATGGTTCTCACTCCTCTTCCTCTCTTTTCTCCGCAGGTCGTCGCACGTAAGAATTTCGAAGGATCAAAGACAGTTTCTGATTTTGTGCGAACGGGCGGCAGCGACTACAGCCTGCTGTTTGACAACTGTCACCTGAGCTCCCGTCGGATGATGAACCAGAGACGCAGACGTTCAGGTCAACGTTTGTTCAACGTGATGAAATGAATAAAGAATAAAGCTGATCTGAGACTCGTCCCTCTCACGGGAGCATCAGTCTGTCCCTCCTGTGGTTTCTTCTTCCTGTTTGTGTTGTTCTCAGTTTGTTCGTGCTCGAGAACAAACGGCTGCTTGAAGCTGTGTAATCGGTCGTGATGACGCCGGCAGAGATTATGTCACCACACTGGGACGCTTCATCCATCGTTACACAAACATTATGCAACTCAGACAAATGTTCGTCCACGTGAATCCTGGAGGACAATCTGTTTCTAACTTTACTCCTGCAGAGGTCACAGTCCCACAGACACTTAGAGACACTGAGAGACACACTGAGAGAGACACACTGAGAGAGACACACTGAGAGAGACACACTGAGAGAGACACACTGAGAGACAGAGAGACACTGAGAGACACACTGAGAGACACACTGAGAGACACACTGAGAGACACACTAAGAGAGACACACTGAGAGACATACTGAGAGAGACACACTGAGAGACAGAGAGACACTGAG